GGGTGGGAGAGGGACTGAGGGGTGGGAGAGAAAGTGAGGGGTGGGAGAGAGAGTGAGGGGTGGGAGAGGGAGTGAGGGGTGGGAGAGAGAGTGAGGGGTGGGAGAGAGAGAAAAAGAGGGGGGGGGTGACCGGCGCCACGACATCGCCAGTGCCTCTTGGCGAAATACCCACTCACTCATCCTACCCCAGCAATACACGCCGTACACACAATACACATGCCGTACACACCGCACGCACCTACCTGCATGGTTCCGCTTATGTTGGCTGGGGAGGACTTTGTGAAGGAGCTGACGGGGTCTTGGGCCACCACCACCTCGTCGGGCATCTGGAACAACACGCGGGGCAGGCGCTGACCCACCGACCCGTGGGTCGGATGGCGGGTCAAACCCAGTGACGAGGACAGCGCTTGGAAGGGCTGCGAGATAAAACCAGGAAGATCTGCCGTACAGCAACGGTAGAAAGGAACACGCGTGTGTGTATTTGCAGAGGGGAGCGGGGGGAAAAGGGGGAGGGGAACGGGGTATCAAGAAAAACTGTCGTGGTGTCGTACTATGTCGGTCGTCGAATGCATCGAACGAATCGATTCCGCAATGTGATGTTGTACTGTTGTACGACGTTCACGTGGTGCTTGGGGAGAGAACACAAGGGATGTTCGTAGGTACGATGTTCAGGAAGCCAACCAGAATGCTGATAAACAGACAGGTAAACAGACAGATACACAGACAGATAAACAGACAGATACACAGACAGATAAACAGACAGATACACAGACAGATAAACGCGAAGGCAGTTTATGTTTGTGGAACCCCCCTAAGTGGTCCCGTACCGCCGCCAACACAGGTGAGCTGCTGCGCCGCCGCCAGCTCCTTCCCACGCGTCGCCGCCGCCGCGGCCTCCGACGCCGTCAACGCCGCCAGCGCCATGGCCGTCGACGCCTTGGCCGCCTCCGCCGACGCATGGCTTGCGGCGCCGCCGGGGTGCAACACGATGATGGTGTGGGCCGACGCCGCCGCCACCGTTGAAAGATCCCGCAACTGTACGGCAGCGACCGGGGCTGTAGTTAGGCGGTTAACGGTTGTGAGCTAACGGTTAACGGTTGCACAGCGGTTGCCTTCAACGGTCAGTCGCACACACACACAGATAATCACAGGGCGCAACTCCTCAACTTAACTCCTAACCGAAGACAATCGGTAGTTATGGTGGTTGAGCACTGTACGGCATGCTTCGTTTGTACGACAATTACAAGCCGTACAGAAGCCGCAGACAGAATATCCTTACTGACTAAATCGCAAAACACATGAGCCCTGACATGGAGGGGAAAAGTTGTTTCACGACAACGACAACGACAACGAAGATAACGACGAAGAACACGACAATGACGACGACGACGACGACGCACCATGGCTGGGCTGCCGGATCGGGTTACCACCTCCAGGCTGTTGGATTTGAGCCGCTCCGCGATTTCGTTGTCCATGTCTTGTTTAGGAGTGTCCTGTCGGTGGCGTTCAGTGGTCATTGCGCAAAATGGTATTTGCGGTTATTGCGGTGGTTGCTCGAGTTTCATGCATATCAGACTAGCGAGTACGACTCGAGTACGGCATCCAGAGAAACGAACGTCCACCCCATCTACCATCATCAATGCAAAGCAAAGGGCAGTTTCCCTTCCCAACTTACCGAATTACCCAACCAGGAAAACTGCCTAACGACCCAACCAACCCACCGACAACAGAACCAACGGCCGGCGGAAAAAGGCGTCGTTACCCGCGTACTGCCGTGCAAGATCGTACTGCCGTAGCAACGGAATTGTGTGATGCGACCAGTTGAGGACGAGCACGTGGTCCCGTACACGTACGGGATAATCGCCGGTCTTGATGGACCTGGTTGGGTTACAGTGTACGGCATGTGTGTATACGGCCCCGCTGATTCCTCCCCCTCGCCCCCCGCGATGGGATAAGTCGAATGTACGGAAGTACGAAGCCGTACTTCGTACAAGCTGCTCTCCCAGAACTCCATAACCATGGCCAAAGAGCTGAAAGACAACTTCCGATCCACCCGGGGAAACCAACCAAACCCAACCCAACCCAAACCCCCAGCACACACACACAGGAGTGTGTACATGTCTGTCTGTCTGTCTGTCTGTCTGTCTGTTTACAAGGTCTGTATTTCCCCCACCTGAACGTGGTTTTGACCTCGTCTGACACAATTCCTAGGAATATGGCGAATGTGAAGAGCCCGGTGAAGAAGGCCGCATTCACCACTAGAAAGCTGACCGCGTTGTTCTCCCGAACCTCCGAGTACGGCAGCCATCAACAGTACGGCCCGAGGCGAGGGGGAAAGGGTGGGAGGCGCGGGGGAATCCAGGGGGGTGGGTGAAGGAACGGGTTTCAGGACGCGGGCGGGCGGGAGGGGGCCGTGTGATTCGCATTCCGTAGGAGGGGTCCCCGAGGGGGCAGTGATGTCCCCCACCGCGTATGTATGTATGTATGTATGTATGTATGTGGCGGGGAAAATGCTGACCAATACGGGGTAGCGGGACGATAGCACTCGCTCTGGCAGTTCTGTTGTTCTCCCTCACTAGCCGTACGACACATTACCCGCAACCCACTTCACTTTCACCTCGCTACTCGGCCCTTTACCTTACACCTTAAAAACCCAAGCCTCGTCAAGAAACCCCAACCCCCCTCCCCCCCCTTGTACGACCCCCACGCACCATGTTGGTTCCCGGCATTCGGTTGAGGATGCAATGTATCTTGATAAGCGCCTCTGTGAAGGACTGACCCGCGGGTCGGCCGCCCACCTGAGCAGACGTTTTGGCGGGAAGGAGGATTAAGGTTGGGGGTGAGGAGGATTAAGGTTAGTCCCCCGGGGGATGGGGCGGGGGATTTCGGCGGAGTGGAGGGGGAAATCGAAGGGGAGTTCGCAGTGGTGGAAAGCCAGGTGCATCAGTGCTCATGGTGTGCCGGGGGGTGGCAGAGGGGCGGGCGGTGTGTGTGTATGTACGACAGTGCAGTACAAGAGGAGAGGCGAAAACCCGCCGCTGTGGGGTCGCGTGCTTGAACTGGTGTGTACGGGATTGGTGTGTTCCGTGTGGCTGCACGTCGCGGGCAAAATCCACTAATGCGCCCATTCCAACTACCCCAACCGCCAACCGCCAGCCTCCCAACCACCATCATCTAAAACCTTAAAACCCACCCACCGCCAAGTAGTACAGGACTCCGAAGACCAGCACCAGCGGAAAGCTGCTGACCAGTACGACAGCAATCTTGACTGGCAGGGCCGCGTACGACCATTTCTATGAAGCGGGGGCGGACGGCGGTGCGGGAGGAGGTGTGTGTGTGTGTATGGGTGGGTTGGGGCGGGGAAGGTAGGGGGCCCCGGGACGAGAAGGCGTTTGGGGGGTTAGGGGGCGGAGGGGCGGCTTGGGGGGCCAGGACCCAGCCCGTGTGCCACGTCAGCTGCCGTACAAATCGAGGAGATGTTTATTGTGTGTCTAACCTGCTACTGCCGTTAGCGAGGTGGGCCCTTCCACAAAAACCTAAGTTAAAACCCCCCACATGGCAGTAGCAGCAGCAGTAGCATCAATAGCAGCAGTAGCGGCTCAATCTGTACCGTCCTCAAACCCCAAACCTCTTTTAAAATTAGACTACCAAACGTACCATCCGCGCCCTGGTGTCGTACATCCCGTAACACCAACCCACCTGGAAAGCTCGGGATAACGGCTCCATGAATCCGTTGCAAAACTCCGTCCACGTAAGCAAGTACCATTGTACGGCAGCTGCCGTCGCCGGCGCCATTCCCGGCACCGGGTTCAGCTGAACCCACTTCACAGGCGCCGGCGCCGGCGGCGCCGCCAGCGCCGCCGCTGCCGCGGCGGCGGATGCTGCCGCAGCGTCCGCCGCCGCCGCCATGGCGGCAAAGACACCGACGCTGACGGCTGCTGCGGCCAGCGCCAGCGCCCCTAGAAGCGCTGGATCCCATAATAGCTCGCTATCCTCGGCATCCGTACTGTCCGTACTTGTCGTATTCCTGCGGTCGGTGGCGGCGCTGTCGGAGGCGGCGGCTGCAGCGTCGTCGGCGTCCCCCCCGCTGCCGTCGGGATACGGCCCCGCCGCCGCCGCCGCGGTACCTTCACCGATCGTTACGTTGCCGTCCATGCCGGCCGTAGCTGTGGATGTACGGCGT